CGCGGCGGGGGGCGGGGGGGTGGTCCTGGGCACGGGGAGGTCCCCCGGGAGGAAGGAGGTGCTTCGCGGAGTGGGACCTGGGGAGTCGCCCGCCGAGTCTCGTTTGGTCCCCGGGGCGCGCCCGGCCTGCTCCGAACTAAGTTTTCCGGGCAAAAAGCCATTGTTCTGACCCGAAGTGGGGAAGTCGGGACGGGACCGGGCGGCCGCTTCCTGCCCCCGCCTCCGAGGGGCGCTGCTTCGGGGCGCGCCGAGCCCATCCGTCCTCCGCCTGTTTGAACTTGGTCTCTTTCGATCTCGCGGCACTCGTCTTATTTTGCGCGGGAGAGAAACGGGCCGGAGGGCGGGGAAGGAACGGGAGACAAAGTACTGGGGAGGGGGCAGCAAAAACGGAGCGGCCCAGCTTTTTTCCCCAAAGGCGAGAGAGGAAAATGCATCAACTGAAAACGCGGACTGCTCCGTGTGCTTACTTTTAGCTATGAAGAGTGGAACCCAGCCCCCAAGTTTTAGGGCGCAAGGAGGGAGAAAAGCAACTGTACCTTTTCTTAATTTGTTTCACGATTTTGATGAAATGAATGTGGGGAGTGGGAGCGAGATTTGAGGCGAGGGTTCTAACCTAAGACTAAGTCGTTAATGGGCCCGCCAGGATCTGGCGATCAGTGTCCTTTGGGTCAATTGCTCACGGCGGAGAGGAGACTGGACCGCTTTTAGAAGCAAGGCTGGCCTGGAGTCCTTGGCGGGGGGGGGGGGGGGGTCATCGCCGGCAGGCTACCCTTTTATTTTCTGCTGTTAAGATCCGTATTCCATTGAGCAACTCCCATTTAAGTCATTTAGATCTTGAATCAGAGCAGGTCAAACGCTTAATATAGGAGATTGTGTATTAGCCTTAACTTTTTTTCACATCAGTACAATTTAACTCAATGAAAATTCATTTTCTGGTTTTGTTTCTCCCTTAAGCGTAGCTGCAAAGTACTCTGTTGAGCAAATCAAAAACTCGTTTCTTGTTGCAGGAGACTGCCTTAATGTAATGTTGATCATTAAAACCATATTTATAAAAGATTCTGCAGGAGAAATGTATTTTTTTGTTGTTGTTTTAACGGAAAGGCCCAAGGTAGGAAATTCAGAACTGCAGGAGCCTGGCTTTCAACTTCTGGCATGTTCTTTAGTTTTTTGGCTTACTAGGTTACATTCATTTGATATCCTGGAGAAAACCGGAGTAACATTTGCAAACTCAGGTATTGTTTGCAAAGGATTGGAGAAGAAGGAAGATTCCCTTAGCGGGTGGGGGAATGATTGCCCCCTGGGAGGGGTTGCAGCCCACAACCCATGTTTTGGGATAAACCACTCCCAGAGTGCAGAGAGCCGCTTACAATCTCTCTCCAGTACTTTTTGTGTCCTGTCTTGTGGAGCTAGGCAGCAAATTGTGGAGCTGAGGCCAAAGGTGTACTTACTGTAATCCTACAAAGAGCTGGATCAGTGTCGACTCACCTTTCCTTGCAGAACTCATCTTGGTTGTGAGGTTTTTGCCCTGAAAGTTTCTAGTTTCCTCTTGGTGATATGTGGCATCCCGAGACACTTGATTAATTTTTTTTTTTTAAAGAAAAGAAAGGGAATTCTTAAAAAAGGGAATTCTTTCTTCCCCTGAGAAATAAATTTGTCTAGAATTTGATCCTAGTCCATTGGCAAAAAAATCAGTTTCCTGGCAGATTTAACACATGCGTGGTCTATCCAATGTGAACATCCAGTTTAGATAAAATAATGTTTAGATAATTTATTTGGAGAAACAAATATGACAGATTTGACTAGAATGAAATTATCAGATAAACAGAGTGAGGGTATGATCCAAACTTTGTGAAGTGTTCCTTAAAAACAAAACTGGAAGTAGGCAGAAATGAGGAATAATTCCAGCTAATTCAGTTGTGTCAAAACATGGGTTTGGGTTGAAGCAGATTCTGTCTTCTGTTTTGACTGTCACATTTAAGAACTATTAAGGCAAGTTAGAACTAATTATTTTCTTATTCATTCATCAAATGGTTACTCAGCATTTGCCATCATCTAGGCACGACTAAATCTACTATGGAGAGTCTACAGCAGGGCTGTCTAACAGAGCTTTCAGAGCTGGGGGAAATGCCTGACATGCACGCTCTTCAGTACGTTAGCCACCAGCCATTTGTGGCTAGAGAGCACTTGAAATGTGGCCCGTGCTACTCAGGAATTGAATTTTTTATTTTATTTAATTTTAAATAAATTTAAATAGCCACATGTAGCTCTTGGTCACGTACTGGACAGTAGAGGTCCAGAAGAATGCAAGGGATACACTCTCAACATATTTTAAGCAAAAGTAGTACAGTTATTTAAGTTAATCCGGGAACATAAATAGTTTACCTACTCCCAAATTGAGATGAAGCCAGTAGCCCTCGATCTGTCAACTTGGGCAGTTAAAACTAAATGACATTAGTTACATCTTACAAAACAGTTTCAGGACAGCTCTTAGTTTTTCTACAAATACTGCCCCTTTACTGCGATCAGAATTGGCTAAAAGGAGTAACTAATACCAGGCACACCCCAACGGTCTTCGTGGGCTACACTCATGGTCATCATACACTGCACAATCTTTAATATTTAATGTGATGATTTGTCTCCACCCAGGTTTGTAAGACTGAGGTGTGACTTACAGGCTGGCCGTGCTATGTGATGCTGTTTCTGTGTATGTAATGGATAAATTTTATATATATGTGACACACCGTGTTTATGTATCAGAACTTAAGTAAAAATAAGCACAGGTAGGGTGTGTGCACAAGTTCTCCAGCTTTCAGTTTGCCTAAGAATCCCGTGGGCATGCGGTGCGAACAGTGATCTCTGAGCCCCACCCCAGAGATCCCGACCTGGAGACCCCAGGGGCCGTCCACAGCTCACACTGTTTCGAGAACTTATTACAAAGAGCAGCTTGTCCCAGCAGTCACTTTACAGATGAGGAAAAGGAATCCTAAACTGCCTCAGGTCACGTGGCTGTGGGGTCCGTTCCTGCCATTTCCCGCGTGTGCCTGGTGGGGGCGGGCAGGCCTGTGTGGACATAGAGCAGCAGCCCGCTCAGGAGGCTTCCAGGGTAGAAGGAGGCAGCAGAAGGCTTTTAAGCTCCTGGGACCCACTCAAGGCCACGTAGCCTACTGCATGGTCCCTAAAGACCGGCACAGACTGGACACCCCTAGGATCCTGGGGGCAGAGGAGGTTAAGGAACACTGTTACAGGAGGTGGGAAAGGGGCAATCAACCAACCCCTTTATGAGGCTGCTTTGGAGACCAGACCGCAGCCGCTATGGGAGCTCTCCATTGCATAAGCTTTTGTTTTAAAGGGGGTCACTTATTAATTTTGTGATCATGTCAGTCCGTGATTCCAGTTTCTTACCATAGAAACAGTGCAGCGATGGACGTAGTTGTCTCTGCCTGTGAGAAGCGCTAGCGCATCTTTGGAACAGCAGGCCTGGGTGCTGTAGTAAAGGGTACGGGGATCTACTTGTTTTGTTAGCTCTTGCCAAACTGGCGCCGGAGGGTCTTTGATAATTTACACTCCCACCCCAGTTAGATGGGGTTGCCTGTCCTCACGTTCTCAGCAACCTGGGAATTATAAGTCCATCTAGGGCATTTCTGAATGTACCTGACTGAGGCTGGCTGAGCCGGTTTCCGTGGCATTCTAACAGAAGTTAATCACGTGTCTTACACGTCACACATCTGCTTTTTTTCCAAGATCTTTGCCTGGTGCAGATTGTTAAAGTGTAAAACGGTTTTATGAGTGCAATTTTCCGGTGTGAAATGCATCATTTTCACAAATTTAAAAATAACTTGCACTTACAAAGTTCTAAAATCTAGAGTGAAGCTTTTACTTAAAAACCAATAATTAGTGTGGGGTTCAAAGCAGTAAACGAATACACGTTCATGAATTTGCTAATTGTTCTCCCTGGATGCTGGAGGCGAGCTCAAGCATCCTCATGAATCCTTTGGGCACCATCGATAAACCCAGGGGTTCTGGGAGTGATGGATTTGAGAACTGCATTGCAAATCCCGCTCTGAATCACAGGCATGTTCTGTTTCACTCCCTTCATTAGCTGGGTTACTTCTTGAATAAAAGAACCCAAACGAAGAAATGTTATACAGGTCACACGAAAAAAGAGATTTTTGTTTCCATCTTTAATTCTGCTGCTTTTTGGTGAGAGAGCATGAAGTCCAAAGGACACACACACACACACACATATATTTCAAAGCCCCTTTCCCCGCTTCTTGTTGGCAAAAATCTCAGTGATAATCAGAGGAATTGCATTTGGAGTCAGAGAATATTAGAACTGGAAGGGACCATGAAAGTCCCATGTTGCAGGGGAGCACACGGAGGGCCCAGAGGGCAGAAGGAGCGTCCAGGTCCCATGTGTCTGAGCCCCGGCTCCAGCTCGCGCAGGGCAGCATCTTGCCAGCTGCCTCCGAGCTCTGCTCCTCACCACCATTGGCCTTTGTGGCTGTCAACTCAGCAAGGAGAGCGACACATGCCTCGGATTCCAAATTCAAAAGGTTCAGACTAAC